ATACGCCCCCCCCCCCTCCGCCGTCCGCGGGGCCTCGGCTCGGATCAGGCGGGGGCTCAAAGTTGAGCGAGCAGTAACCGCTTCACTTTTGGCCGGCAGACTCGACTTTTTTGCCCGTGCCTGCGCGCGGCCGCTTTGGCCGCCGTACGTGCGAGGGGTGACTTTGTGCTCCGCGACGAGGACGAGGAGGGGGAGGGGGAGGGTGTATTTGTCTTGCGTCCGTCACGGTGTCACTGCCAGGACCTCACGAAGAGACTTGGTGCGGCGGAACGGAGGGGGCTGGGGGGCCGAGCCGAGGGGCCGAGCCGTGAGGCCGATATTGAGCCATGGAGGCGACAAGGAAGAAAGGCAGACAAAGACACAAAGCGCGTGCATCTCCCAGCCCGCCTCGCCCTTAGTCCTGCGTCCTTGGCGTCCTCGTTGCGGCCGCCCTTTCGCGTGGGGCGCTCAGGACCCTCCCTCGGAATCGCTTCATGTCTCCTTCATGTCCTAATAACCCTCGGAATGGCAGCCCGACCCGATCACCGGCAGCGCGAGCGAGAGCGCCAGCGTCAGCCCCAGGGCCCCTGCAGGGACAACATGGGGAGCGAGCGAGAAGGGTGCGAATGGGGTGTCACTTCGGGCCACCGCGTGCACACACACACACACACACTCACACGCGCGCGCGCTCAAAAACACACCCCAACACACACTCACACGAACGCTGACAACGTTCACACAGCAAGCCCGCCCTGGGCTAGCAGTAAGCCGTCGCCGAACATCGTCCGCTTACGGCGGTGGCGACCGGCGCGGCGTGGCGCGGTTCGCAGAACGCCCAACCCACTTTGGCCCCGGCCCGCCTTGTGTGTGTGTGCGTGCGTGTGTGTGGGGACGGGGTCCCGCATCCGCTGACGGCGCGGTGCCGGGCCTTAATGTCCTCCCCGCGCGCGAATAGATATTTTCATATCTCGGGTCGTGGAGCGCATGGGGCGTGGCGGCGAGGCGGCGAGGCGCTGGCACGCACTGCAGCCTTCGTCACTGCCGGTGCCGTGGCCGTGCATACATCGCGCTTTTCTCGTCGTGCGAAAAAAATAACAGGCGAGGCAGCAGCAGCCCTGGCGGTGGCGGTACGGCCGGCCGCCCTGGCCGCCCTGGCCGCTTGTAGGCTAGTGATGGATGGTGTGCTGAGTCCTCCCCTGCCACCGCCTCGTCCTGTCCCGCCTGATACTGTAGTCCTGAAAAGGCAGCGGGGACGCTCCGCTCTCGCAGGCGTGGCGAGGCGTGGCGGGGCGTGGCGGGGCGTGGCGGGGGCGTCCGTAAAGCTCGCTCACTGGAAAAATAAAACGTATCCGGCGGAAAGGCCTTGCCGCACTTTGCCCCACTTTGCGCATGTCGCCCACGGTGTGCACCGCGCCGTGGGCCACAATGCCGGTGGAGGCGGCCAAAACTCTAGACGCGTTTTGAGCTGCAGTCGCTTAATGGAACTAGAACCGAACGTGTGACCCCACTAATGGATTCCTCGTTCGGAGAGGAACCCATTGGTGGGGTCACACGTTCGGTTCGAGTGCCATTTAGCGACTCGGAGCTCGAAACACGTCCGGGATTTTGACCGCCGGCGCCGTTCTTCTGACCCACTGTGCACCGCCTCGACGGTGTGGTGCTGCAAGGTAATTGCCTGCTGTCCTGGCCGGTGGCTCAAGCACCCTCCAGTGCGCCGTGGCCCCGCCCCGCCGCGCCCCGTGGCCCGCTTTGCTATTCTCCGCGACCTCCTTTTGTCAGTTTCCGTTTGGGGACCGGTTCAGCACGAGTGGTTCTGGGCAAACGGCGCGCGGGCCGCCGCGGCCGGGCCGACCGGGGCCCGCTGCCGCTCTGCTGTGCGCGCTCTGCGCCCCGCTACAATGCGATCGTGTTTCTAATTTTGGCGCGGCAGGGTGGGCCATCCCAGCCCGGTGGCCCCCGCAGCCCGGCCCCCCGCTCCGCCATGCCGCCGTCCGGGCCGATGCCGTTGGGTTCAATTTGACCGAAACGAAGCTGAAGCCTCCGCTGCCCTCTATTCATTGGCACGTGGCCCGGCAGCGGAGCGAGGCAGAGCGAGGCAGAGCGCCTGCCGCCCAGGCCCGCCCGCCGCACGGAGCTGCCCGCCGGGCGGCCTACCCCGCCCTCCGCAGGCGCTCTGCCCCGCTCTGCCCACCACGCCTCGCCTGCCTCGCAGTGCAGGTAGCCTACGCCGTCCCAGCGCGCGGCGCGTCAATTTTGAATCCAAACAGCGCGGTGGCTGCGGTCCGCTCCGACGGGCTGCCGTGCCGGACAAAGGGCGAAATGAACGCGATCGCGCGGGAGCGGCGGGAAGCCGCCTGAAAGAACACACGGACACTCTTATCGGCGGCGCCCCACTCCGCGGAATGCCGCGCGGCAGACCGATTCCGAGAGTCGCTCTGTCTCCCTCGCACCCAAACGTGGCGCCCCATGAGTGCGAGAGAGACAGCGCGACGACAACGACTCTCGGACTCAGTCTGCCGCGGATCGCTATGCGCGGAAACAAGGGAAAATACGTCGCGGCGAGACGAATTGGTCGGGGCGCCACCAATGGCGAGATGCGCGTTTTATTTTTGCTTTTTGTTGTTGTTTGTTGTTTTTTTTATTCCTCCGCGGGGCGGCGCATCAGTCAGGCCGTGGCGGCGCGAACCGCCACCAATTACGGCGTGCATCCATCCCGCCATCCTGCGGGGCTGCGGGGCCTGCAGCGTGATTCAGTGCGTCATCACTTTTCATGGCGCCTCCGCCGCCGCCGTGGTCGTCGTCGTGGTCGTCGTCGTGGTCGTCGTCGTGGTGGTCCTGGTGGTCGTGAAAAGGAAGGAAGACGACTCGGCCGGAAATATGTCGCCAGTTAGGGGGCCGCCGCGCCGCCGCCGTCGTCCGCGAGCACTCCTCCCCGGAGCATGCCGTCTCGCTGATGGACGGGGCGCGGCGGCAGCGGCGGCGGACGGACTGCCCCGCGGACTGCCCCGCGGACTGCCCCGCGGACTGCCCCGCGGACTGCCCCGCGGACTGCCCCGCGGACTGCCCCGCGGACTGCCCCGCGGACTGCCCCGCGGACTGCCCCGCGGACTGCCCCGCGGACTGCCCCGCGGACTGCCCCGCGGACTGCCCCGCGGACTGCCCCCGCGGACTGCCCCGCGGACTGCCCCGCGGACTGCCCCGCGGACTGCCCCGCGGACTGCCCCGCGGACTGCCCCGCGGCCCCGGGCGGCGCGGCGGACGGCGATGCCGCTGGTGGCGCGTTTGTTTTTCCGGAGACAAAACCGGCGCGGAAACACAGTGTATGAAATAATAAAACGCCGCCCGAATATCAAGTTAACGGCCGTCTGTTTTGACACCGCGCTGCCGCGCTGCGCCGCGTCGCTCTGTCCTTCCGGACCGTCCCGGACCGTCCCGGACGACAGGCATGCCAGCGCCAGCCAGCGCCGCGTCCAATGACGGAATACCATTCGTACCTCTCTCTCAGCCCATCTGTCGGTCGCACCGCCCCCTCCCCCCTCTCATCGATAATAATTTTGGCAGTGTGCTTTATGTAGGCCAGGGACGACCGCGCCACCCTCGGCCTGCCCGGTGCTTCCAGGCCACTCTGCCCGATTTATTACCGAGCCCTCGTAAAAACTGAGTGACTCAACATTTAATAAATTCCGGCCGAAATCTTAAGGGAACTTTTTCGTTCGGGCCCCGCCGGTTAATTAATTCCGCACCCCACCCCCGGGTGCTTAAAATTTACCTTTTTTTTTCCACAAGGGACCTTTCTAAAAGGCTTTTGTTATTGTTGTTAACCCCAGGCCGGGTGCTAGCTAGGGACGTGTTAGCGGGTGTGATTATCATTTTCCAAGGGGGAACGGACATGTATGTTGTAGGTTGTGGATTTTCGCCAAGGTTTTCTTTGAAAAGGCCGGGACAACCCCCAGAGTGGGGCCGGAAGGGTCATATTGTCGTAAAATCCTCTCCCCGCAAGCGAAGTGGTGTTGCCATATGTTAAGGAACTGGTGTTATCCCCTGCAAGATTAATTAAGTTTAATAAAAGTCTGTCCGCCGCTAGATGGCGCTGAGGTCTACTTTAGTCCCTTAGCTCGCGGTGTTGACTCACATCGCCACATGCACTAGTCGCGCAGGCTATTCACTCTCCACCATCGCGCTCAAGGAAGTGTGGTGTGATTTATAGACTTGCCTCTGACACACAAGTGTTGGAGAGTTGGGCGGCCATGGAGAATGCCGTCTCACGCTCAAATAGCAGATCTCAACACTGACTGACTTACTGGTATGCAACATTTTCATTAACGTGGGTAGGATTTAATTAAATCATATGTGTTTTAATTAAACTACAGCTTAATAAAGCTCTAATTAGCGCTTATAAATTTAATTAAATATAATTAAAACTTATTATTCACATATTAAAAATAATTAAATTTCATTTCAGCCTGACCTATTAATTAGTCTATTCGTGTTCATAGATAGCTCTATTCTTGGCCACTAACAGATTTAATTAGCATTTAACAAAATTTAATTAAAGTCAACTCTAATAAAAAATTAATTAATTACAAATTAATTATTTATTAAATTTAATATGCGCCTTTTTGCCAGGGAGCCTGGCTCTGTCAAACTGGAGTGACTCAACTGGTTGGGGAAACGCTCGCAAATATCGCCCGGCCGACATCTATCACGGAGCGGAGGGGGAGGGGGGGAACTTCTTGCTCGCGTCTCGCGTCCGCCTCGCCGGCAACACATCCGTCGGCCGCAGCGCCGCAGCGCCGCAGCCAGGACTGCTAATGAGCCGATCCACTGCCAGCCGAGTTGTTGTTGTTGCTCCCACCGGTGCCTTTCTCAACGGCCTTCTTGTTCTTGTTGTTGCAGATGGGGCCGCGGGCCGCGGTCCCCGGGGCTAGCTGACCGCGGGGCGTCCCGGGCGCGGCGGGGCGCGGCGGGGCGCGGCGGGGCGCGGCGGGGTGCGGCGAGGTGGGGTGCAGCTCAGGCTCTCGCTCTCGCCGCGCGCGCCGGGCCGGGCCCAGGGGCGGGCCCAGGGCCGCGGACAGGGCGGACATGAAGTGCCTTGTGGGCATCCTGTGGATCGTGCTCGCCCTCGTCTCAAGTAAGTCTTCATCATGTTTTCGACAGGCTCGCTGACAGGCCGCGGACAGGCCGCACCCCCCGGCGTGCGGCCGGAAGCGGCCTAAGCCCCGCGCGCACACTGAAAAAAAATAATTGAATCGAAATAAACATAAACAAAACTGCTACGCACGCAATGCGAATTTTTTTTTGTTTTGTTGGCAACTACGCCGGGTGTTTTGCGCGCTCGAAAACAGGCAATCCATTACGTGGGGCGAACCGCCTCGACAGGAGCGGCGGAGCGGCCCACCGAGTCACGCCGCGGCGCGTTGATGGCGCGGTTAGCAACTTCTGCGACAATCGAGTGGCATCGGGAAGGGCGAAGGGCTTCAGCCGCCAGGCCGCCACAGCGTGCTGAATGCCCGCCACGCCACGCCGTGCCGTGCCGTGCCGTGATCTCCCACCCCGAACTTGGCCCAGACGCACAGGCCGCGCCTCACCGCGCCCCGCTCGGCACAGCCCGCCTCCGCCCGGAAACTTTCAGCATCAATATGTGTCGTCAACTTTGACGCGGGCTGACGCGGCGCCCCGCCTGCATGGCCGTGCGCGTCGGTGCGTCCTCGCAGTCCTCGCAGTCCTCCTGAGCGGCTCGTCTTCGGCGACCTCCTCCGCGTCCACGGCGTCCTCGGTGTGCTCGCCGTCGCGGTGGGCTCACTGTCAGGCCGAGCTGTCGGCCGGGGGAAATAAATGCTGTTTGCCTTCCACGGCACTGTGGGACTGTGACGCGCGCTCGTGTGCGTGTGTGTGTGTCTGTGTCATGTGTGTGTGCCCGCTGCCTTCGGGCCTGCGGCGACCGTGCAGTGACCCGGCGGCTCAGCTGGCTCAGCTGGCTGCTGCTTGGTAGGCTTGTCACAAATACCGAGTCCGTAGGTTCAACAACTCCCCCCCCCCTGCGACCCAAGCCCAAGCAGCCGGCCAACCCCCTTTTAAAAAAGTGACAAAAGGACCCAACAAAGACCGACGACGACGAAGAAGTTTTGCATGTGGATATTTTGGCGGCGGGCAAAAAAAGGGCGCCGGTGATGGTGGCTGACACTTTGCCGCCAGGGCGACGCCTGGGCGACGCCGGGGCGCCGGGATGACAGTCTTGACGGCGTCCGCTGGGAGCGGGACCGGCGGGGACCGGCGTGACGCCCGTGGGCGGCGTCTAGTGTTACAGCGAGGCAGCGGCGGAGCGGCTCAGCGGCGCCGACAGAAACAAAGTCTTCGCATACACCTTCTCTGAAAACGGGTTCTTCTTCAACCGAAACTCATTTCCATAAAACAGCGCAGCGCGCATGGCAGATAATTTAATCGTTGCTGTCAAGAGCGTGATGTTGCCGGCGATCTGTCCCTGTAAGAGAAAAGCCATGTTCGGCGCGTTTTTCGACGGTTTTTCCGGTGGGTTTTCCGGTGGGGTTTCCGGCGGTTTTCCCGGCTCGTTACGCGTGCATTTGCGGACCCGAGCGCGGCGGGAAAACGAATATTGCCCCAGTGCAAATCCTTGTGATTGGCGGAGTGGCGGGCCGAAGGGCCGATGACTGAAGGGCGTGGGGCCCACTGCCAAGGGCTGCCGAGGGCTGCAGAGGGCTGCAGAGGGCCCTCGGGGCTGATCAGCGGCGTCCCTTTACTGCCATACGTGACGGGGACGGGGACGGCCCTGCGCGTGGTTTAACGCGTGAGAGAGAGAGAGAGAGAGAGAGAGAGAGAGAGAGAGAGAGAGAGAGAGAGAGAGAGCGTGTGCAGGCAGCCGGTGGCGTATCAAACATTCAGCATTCGTGAAGAGATTGTTTCCCCAGGCGGTAATGGCGAGGTGGGGCGCGGCGGGGCGCGGCGGGGCGCGGCGGGGCGCGTGAATTGCGAAGGAACGCCGAACTTGTGGGGGTTGTTAAGCCGGGCGGGAAGAATAGCACAGAGTCGGAGAAAGGGGGGAAACGTATCAGACACGCCTGAGCACGTCTGTTTTCCGCGCCACTCGATGCATTCTTTCTCTTTTTTTCTTTTTTTTCGCCCCCGGTCCTGCTTTCCCTCTGCCTGCCCCGCGGGCAGGGCGGGCAGGGCACGTACGCGCTGACCGGCGAGGTAAAAAAAAACATCGCCATAGCAGAGAGCGAAATACGGTACATTGAAGAGCATCAGGTCTGGATTGAATTCCGCGTCCGATGAAGCGAGAGAGGGGGAGGGGTGGAGGGGGTCGCGTGGAGGCCTGGCCCTTTGTCCGCCAGTCTGCATAAATTACCGCCAAGTGAAAGACGCGTTGCGGGGCCGCAGCCCTTTTGGCTTGATGTGCGAGAGTCACGCGTTTAATAGACTGTTTGCTTTGCCACGCGCTCGCACTCACACACTCACATCACACACGCACACATACACGGGCTTAAGGGTCGGAGGGTGCCCTAGGGTTGCGGCGCAGGGCTGCGCGCCGCTCGCCCCGAGGCGGCCAAGGCTGGCGGCCCGAAAGCGGAGACTTTACATTATTCACGGTCCTTTTTAACTTTCTGCTTGCGGCAAGGTCGTCGGCGAGGAGGAAGAGTACACTGTGGGTGGGGTGGGGATTCGATTTTCGGACACGACGAAATGAGATCGAACTCCGTAACACGGTGAGCCCCATTTTCGACTTGAGGTGGGTTCGGTTTGCGCTCTCTGCGCCCGGAAACCGGACCTACATCAGTCGGAAATCAGGCTAAATTTGGCCCCTTCCGAAAATCGAACCACCTTGTAACAGTGTGGGGAACGGGACGGTTACTTGTACTACCGTATGTTCCCTGTTGCGATTCCTGGTCGCACCTGCTGCCTTTAGTGCGGCAGGCCGAGGCCCAGCTAAATATCTTAGTGGGGGATGCAGCCGCAGCCTCGCTCAGATCGAACCGTCGAACAACAGTGCTGTCGTTAGTTTCCACCTTCGGTGACGAGGCTGCCTAGAGGCGTTGGAACAGAGAGTCCCGGCCAGGCTCGTCTCCCCCGCCATGCCCGCCCACACCGGATTCGCCAGGCGCGCCCCGCCGCCCGGCCCGCCCCCGCGCGGACTTTCTGATGTGCCCCAAAAAGAAAACACTTGTTTTATTTAATTAAAATTATGAGTCAAAGAAAGTTTTATTTGTCTAGAAAGTTGGGGCGCGCCCTCACCGCGCGGCGGTATATTCTGTGACGCCCCGCTCGGGGTCCTAATGGGGAGGGGTAGTGGGGGCTCGGGGGGCGGGGTGGGGGAAGCTAAGCGAGGCATTCGCTGCCTCGCAGAAATATGAACCGCAAAAGCTTCTGCCTCAGCCACATCTTTTGACGGATTATGAAACCCGCTCTGGGCAGACGGACGGGCGGACGGACGGACAGACACCCCGCCCATACCTCTCACAGACAATTACTCAGGAATTAGTGTAAACACGTCACCGCCATCAAGGTAAACGTCCCGCCGCTCTTCTCTCGGAGCGGCTCTTCAACAACAGTTGACGCCGCAGCCAACGGGACAAAAATAATATTTGAACGGAGAAAAATGTGGACGTGAACTGGTAGCGCGGCGAGTGCTTGGATTCCAGCTCCGGCTCCTTTTTCGGCCGTCCTGCAGTGTGACAGTGCCTCCGCTAAGCCGGGACGAAACAAAACGGAGCCACTGCCAGGCACGCCAAGGTGTGGCAGGCGGGCCCCAATGGTCCTGGAGAGAGTCCTCGAAGACGGCAGGCAGACAGGCAGGCGGGCAGACAGACAGACAGACAGACATGAGCGCGGCGGGTACCGCGGGGTGACGTGGCGTGGCTGGGAACACTAAGCGACAGGCCGCGTCCACGTGGAAGCGGCCGAGTTGTCGCGACCACACGGGCAGACAGACAGACAGTCTTGATTGCGGGGGTGGCGCGCGGCTTGGAAATTAGGCAAGAGACGCGGTGCACACGACGGCAGGGGAGAGGCGGCGGGGGCGGCCGGTCGTGTGCCGAATGGCGTGGGATGGCATCGGCGACCCCGCCTGATTCGCTGCCGGGCGAGCGGTGCTGCTACGCTGCCAATCAATGGACTCGCTCCGGGACGCACTCTTTGAATCCGAGCGGGAAACCCAGGAAGACCCGTGACACATTTGGGGTTCGAGCAAATCTGAGCGAAGGTCGATGGACGTCCGAGCATGCACCGAGCAACTCCGCGAAAACGCGAAAACAAAAACGAAAACGCGAAAACGAAAACGAAAACGCGGAAAACGAAAACGCGAAAACGAAAACGCGACAACGAAAACGAAAACGCGATCAGCACTGCTGCTGGCTCGCAGCTCAAAACGCGTCCGGAGTTTTGACCGCCCCACCGGTCTTCCGGCGGCCCACTGCGCAGTGCCCGCGGCTCGCGGAGCGCGGCGACGCGGCGCCCCGTTTAAACATTTTTATTCGGAAAATGGCGGAAAGGGCCGGGAGGCTGGGGGCTGTACGCGGCCGCGGCGCTGTCCAAAAGTTTGGTCGTTGTTTGGACGAACTCCTTCGCTGTTTGCTGTTTGCTGTTGCTTTCCGCCCGGAAACGGTCATTCCCCCCCAGCCCAGTAGTGGAGCCATGCTGGTGCCTCTCCGCCCGGCAGCCCGACAGTCCGACGGCACTCTCCAAAACCCACTCGCGAGGCGAGGGGTGCTCTACTCACTCGTTTTTCACGTGGATACTTTCGAACAGTGAGAACATAATGAATATCGCCGCTTTGCCCAACTTTGTGGCAGCACAGCTCCAAAACGTAGCAAAGCGAGGGGTGACCCACTGTCAAATTTTATGTACAATGATTGTGTGAATGTGCAAGAATGTGCAAGATTTCTGGCGTTTTTGCCACACTTGTTGCCTACTTACAGGCGTTTTTGCCACCTGAATGTGGAATGTGGTCAAATTTTGTACAACGAATGTGGGAAGCTGTTCCCCCCTCGTAGCAAAGGCATAGAAAAGGAACGTCCAAAGACCGCCGCGCCGCCGAGGGGGTGCGATCAACCGGCTTTGATTGGACGCAGCAGCCCGCCAAAGTCGCCCCAGACACGATTCCAGTCATTTGTGGCAGTACAGCTTAACCAAGGTCCTTTCACCCACGCGTCCACCAATGCAGTGCCGAAAACGAAAACGCGCGGCAGAAGGGCGCCCCGCTGTATTTCGTGCGCCCCGGGCCTCCCCATGCATATTTAACGAAATGCAAATAATTTTGCAGTGCAGCGGCCCGATACAGCACAATCCAATCCAATCGGGCGGCGTCTGTCTGCCTTGTTGTCATCGGCAATGCATCGGCAATGCTCTCTGTAGTATAATTATTAACATTGCAGGCGGAATGCCCGGGGCGGAGTTGCCGGGCGTTGCCAGGCGTTGCAGTGTAGTTGCTGTGCGTTGTGCTGTGCGCTACTCGCTCCGCTCTGCCTTGCCGTCTCGCCGCGTTTAGCCCGGCCAATCGGGACGAGGTGCGTCGCGCTGGAACTGCCAAGCCTATTTGCTCCTAATTGTTTCCAATACAGTGGCGCTGCGCTGCGGGCCCAGACGGGGAGGGTGGGGGAAGTCCGGGCGCCTCCGCAGACCCGACAGCTCTTCTAATTGGTCCTCCGCGCCCCGCCCCGCCCCGCCCCGCAGCGTCTCGAGATTCAATAATATGAATCTGCGCTACGCGGCGCTACGCTTCCTCGCAGTGAGCGCCGCCTGCCTTGGGCCCTTGTGGAAGGCCGCGGGGAGCGGCGGCAGCCGGGCGGCACGGCGGCACGTCTCGCTGCGGTTCGCGGCCTAGGCGCGCCACGCTCCGCGCCACGCGCCGCGCCCCCTCAAGCGGGAGGGGAGGCGGCGCCCCGGCCCGCCGCGGCCCGCCTTCCCGTTTCGAATTTTCCGCGCGCTTGCCTCCGGCCGCCGGAAATTCTCATCCAGCCCTTGAAGCGCTTCGGGCTCCTCAAGCGGCGGCGTCCGGCCGGCGCGCTCCGGCGCCAAATCCGCGGCCCAGCGGCCCTAGCGGTGTAGCAGCGCCTGCAATCGGACGGACGCCGGGCAGCGGGGCCTCCGGGATGCGGGCCGCGGGCCGGTCTGGATCTGCCCGCCCAGGGTCGCAGCGCCGCCGGGGCGGGGTGGGGCGGGGAGGGGCGGGCGGAGGCATCCAGCACCTTAATTATTCGTGCCCCAGCCGCAGGGCCACCTCGGGCTGCCGCGGGGGCTATGTTCTATTAATGTCGGCAATAAGTTACCTTCCCGGGGGCACTCTTGTGCTCCATCTCCGGCCGGTGCGTTGCGCCCTTGCGGCGCGAGTGGCGGCCCGCCGGCCTCGGCCACGGCCTCGTCGGCGACCGGCAGGTCGACTCGCCGCGTCGACAACGAGCATAGCGAGCAGTCGGTGACGAGTGCGTGCGCGGGGACGGGAATGCAAGTGCTAAAGGTCCGTCGGCCGCACAGTCGACAGTCACAGCGTGGAGGACTAATTCATAAAGCCTGGCTGGCTGCCTGGCTGGCTGCCTGGCTGGCTGGCTGGCTGGCGGCGCCCCATCCCTCCCCTAGAGACACCCGGCCGGAGTAATGAGATCCCCGCCTTTACCTCACAAAGTAGTCGGGCTGCGTGGCGCTGCGTGGTGCGGCGGGGCGCGGGGCGGAGCGAGGCTTACTTGCCCGGGCCTGGCGCTGCCTGGCCGTGGGTAGCGCCAGCGCCCTCGGTGCCCCGGGCTGGGCTGGGCCGGGCTGGGCTGGGCCGGGCCCTCGTCGGCCTTCATCAGAAAACGTCGGGAACAATATGAAACGTTGCCGTGATACCCGCGCTACGCCGCGCCCCGCCACGCCACACCACGCCGCGCCGCCCCTGGGGCCTCCAGGCTGCCTCCAGGCTGCCTCCAGGCTGCTCGACCCCCGCCCGCCCGGATGGCGTCGTTGCGTCGGGATGAAAGCGCCACGCACGAAAATTAAATAAAGTCCCCGCCTGGCTTTTGCTTTTGCGCCTCGGAGAACCGGCAAAACTCGATACTTGGCGTCTTGCTCGGCGCTTTCGCGTCGCTTGCCTTCGTCGTCGGCGAGCCTTCACCAGGGTGACACGGCCCGGCCGGGTGGCGGTCGCGCGGTCGGCGCCGAGGCCACGGCGACGTCTTTTCGCCCGCTGCACTCGGGGGCGGGAGAGGGAGTCGTTGCGGGACGAATGACTGTCCTTAGTTGGCGCTGTCCTCCGCGGCCGCCAGCGCCTTTAGCAGTGGCGGCCACGCGGCTGGAACCCCGGAACGAGCACCGAGGCCACGGCGGGGGCCACGGCGAGGGCCACGGCGCCACACAACTACCCTCCACCGGGGCGCGGCCACGCTGCCACGCTCCCCTGGACCGGCACGAGGGGGGTCATTACTCATGACCCGGCAGTGGGAAAAGGGGGGAAGGGGGGGGGGACGCCAAGCCGGCTCACAAAGTCACGACGCGATGCCTTAAGCACGGACCGTTGTTTCAAGATTTACGAGTCCTTACCGTGACGGGTCCCGGCTGTCGCTGCACTATGTCCAGGTGGGCTACACTGTATGGCCGCGTCCTCGTTAACACACACACATGCACGCAAACACACTTACACTACTAACACGCGTGTGGGGTGGAAACGAAAGAAAACACGGCCAAGTTTCTGTTGTGTTAGGAGCCCTTGCCGTGTGTGTGCTGCCTGGCTCCATGACGACCTAGTCCATGACGAATGCCAGAGCTGAGCTAGGTCCCCCCCCCTTCCACTTACACAAACCAGCCCCACTGGAGGTACGGGAAAACAGCGCACTTCATTATTTTTCCAAAAGCCAATGTCATGTAATTTCACGCTAATTGTTTTAGACCACCTGACATGAAGTTTCTGATTAGTGGACCAGTATTAACGCGCGCTCTGCACAAGGGACGGCAGGACAGAGGGTCGAATTTTTTGGCACGCCAAAAAGGGTTTCGATTACGCTTTGGGTGAAACTAAAGAATTAAACCCTCTCGGTGGGTCCTCTGTCCCCTAAGAGGGGTGTGGCGGCCTGGCGGGGGCGGGGTGCGCGCCAAGACGCGGAGTCGCGGAGATAAGGGAACTCGAACTGACTCGCGCACTAATGGACTCGGCATGCCAGCACGGCCGCCTCGCCGCCCCTCGCCGGGATGACACTGACCTTGGGCGGGGGAGGGAGCGGCAGGCCTGGGCTGGGCCGGCCTGGGCAGGGCTGGCCCACTACGAGGCGCTCCCTCCCTTCCCTCGCCGTTTTGGACGGTATCCATCGCCCCGATTCCTTTTCATCAGCGCTGGGAAAGGCTTCAGAGCGCCAGAACGGCTAGAACTGCAGCTGGAGGGGCGAGGCGGGCGAAGCACCCCGTCCGCTGCTTTCATCCTGTAGGGGGCGGGGCGGGGCGGGGCGCTAGCCTTCAGCATTCAGCGCGCCCGTCCGCCGGATTATGTCGTGTCGAGTGCTTCTTGCTGCTCCCGCCAAATTGTTGAACTAACTTGGTTGTGCTCGCAGGCTGCTCGGGGAACCCTGACGCCAAACGACTGTACGACGACCTGCTCTCCAACTACAACAAGCTGGTGCGGCCCGTGGTGAACGTGACGGACGCCCTCACCGTGCGCATCAAGCTCAAGCTCAGCCAGCTCATCGACGTGGTGAGTCCCTCTTCTTCTCTTTTCTTCCTCTTCTTCTTCACCCGCCGTTTGTTTCCCTCCCTGCTGCTCGCAAAGAACACCGTCGTGCCTGTGGGTACAAGCGAGGGGGATTGTTTTAATTTTCCCGCCCGATTCGAGGCCAGGCCGTGCAACTCGGTCCCGGCGGCCCTGGCGGTACGGGCCGGGGCGCGCCTTCTAATACCCCTACCCGACCCGGGCCGGCGTACCTGCCGCACTGCCGGCCGCTCGCTCGGCCCGGTGGGTAATTAACGTTTACAACGGCCGCGGCTTTTGCCTTGCTTGGCCATGTTTCCCTCTGCCTGGCCCCAAAAAAACAAGAAAACTCCCTTCGGCGCCGTCGGCCCCGCCGGCGCGGCCAAGTTTGATTGTACACCTCGGGCCGAGTAGCTCGCTATAGCTCGCTCCATTTGGCGAGCGTCTTGTCTCGCCGCCTCTCCGGGGCGGGCCGGGCGGTGAGGCTGAGGCGGAGGGGCCATAACCTCACATATTGCGTGCGCGCAGCGCGCATCCAGCGGGAGGAGAGACACCGGGCGCTGCCTGCCAACAACGCCAACAACGCCAGCAACGCCAACAACGAACGGAGGAAGGGAAAGCTCGTAAAGCGCGCGGCGAGGGAGGCGAGGCGAAACCCGACGACGAGTTGGACGCCATGGAGGCATCGGCGGTGGTGGCGCGGAGGGTCTGCATGGACAGCTGCGCCTGCACTGCACAGTGGGCCAGAAGACCGGTGGAGGCGGTCAAAATTCCGGACGCGTTTTGAGCTCCAGAGGCGCTGAATGAGACTCGAACGGAGCGTGTGACCCCATCAATGAATTGCTCTCTGAATGGGGAATCCATTGGTGGGGTCACACGCTCGATTTGAGTCCTGCTTAGCGACTCTGAAGCTCTAAAAGCATCTTGAGCTTTTGCCGCCGGTCTTCTGGCCCACTGTGGGAACTAGAACGACGCCCTGTACGCACCCTGCCCGCGCGTGCGTGTGAACGGAGATCCGGCCCACTTTTGCATGGAACACGCACGCACGCGCGCGCGCGCCAAAAAGAAAGAACAGAAGGGAGGCAAAGTTTTGATACGGCAGTTCGCGCTTCGTGCTACGCCGCGCTACGCCGCGCCACGCCGCGCCACGCCGCGCCACGCGCCCCGCGCTCGCCCCGATCGGGGCCTGTTGGGACTCAGCCGCTCGTTAGACTTTGAAACAGCCTGGAACTGTTGTTGCTGCCGCTGCTTCGTAATGTTGCCGCCTCCTTTTTTGCCGCTTCTTTCGCGCCTTGCGAGCGCCGCGCGGTGACGCCGGATAGCACTTTGATGGCGAGGTGAGAAAGAGAGAGAGAGAGACAGCATGCGTCCTCGGCGTCGCCACGGCGTCGCCATCGCCACCAGCACCGCCAGGAAGCAGATATTGGGCGGGGAGGGAACGCGGGAAAGCACTATGAACAAATGGCAACAGTGCAGTGCGCAATGGGAAAGGGGGAGGGGCGGCTAGTGTGCCAAGCTGGACCCTGTTGCAGGACGGCACTGCACTGCGCGGGGCTCAGCGCGGCGGGGCACGGCGCGGCGGGGGTAATTTCGACGCAGTTTGTTTATTTTTATTTTTTGTTCCGCTTTCCCACCGTCCCCGGAGGGCTGACTCGGACTCTTCGCCGTCGGGGTTGGAGGACGCGATACATCTTGTCGGCAGTTTCGTATCGTGTCCGCCGCCCCGCCCCGCCCCGCCCCGCCGCAGGTTGTCGGCGTGAAATGCGCGCCATCTCGCTTCCATCGGGCTTCACGTGTCGCGTCGCCCGCGGCCACCCTTTGCCCGGCCCGATAAGCCTGGGCGAAGCGGAGAGGTGTCGCTCTTTCGCCACAAAGGGAACGCTCCCAAATAAAATTCAACCTGTTCCCGAAGTTGCTTTGCCTCCGTCGGGGATTCGCACCGTAATTGTCACTCCAACTTCACTGAGTGGGAAGCAGAAAGTCGAACGACACGATTCTAAATTGTGTTTGTCAGCGGCGCCTGGGCGTCATTCTATATTTCAGCTCGTCGGGAGGCGGGAGGTTGTAAGTGGGGTGGACGGCGGAGCCGAGGAGCGGAATGCATCCGCAGGGAATCCTCGACGAAGCCGTCCGCGCCGGCCATGCCGGCCAGGCCGAAGCCGTCCAGGCCCAGGCCGAGGCCGGCCAGGGCGGACCTGTCAGAGCCGTCCCGGGCTCGGACGGAGCTAAGCGGAGATCCAGCCAGATCCAGATCCGGATGGAGGGAGTCCGGAATAGCGTGGTCGGGGTCGGGGCCGTCGGGGCGGTCGGCCCCATAGCATCTGGAGAGCGGCAGTGCCCCGGCAGTGCCCCGGCAGTGCGGCGCGTCGGACTGCTGATATGAAGGGAGCTCGGGATATCATAGCCGTGGAGGAATCCCAATATAATCACTCCTGCTGCAGCACCCCTTTCTCGGGGCCGCCTCGCGAACCCTGCTAAGCTGTAGACAATGAGACGATGACGTCACGGAAACGGGAGGCAGGCTAGGGCAGGCTATAGGGCAGGCTGAGGCAGGGCCGAGGGAGGGCGCGAGGAGCCCACCTTGACGTCATTGGACAGCACACAGTCCGTGCAATCATCGCAATATGAAAGAGGCGCAAATTCACAATCCGGTGGGAGAGCGGGTCTGGAAAAGGCCCTCTCGGCTTTGTCATCGAGTCTGTTTGCCGCCCCCCCCCTTCCCCCTGCCGCCGCCACGCGCCGTGTCGCGCGCCCTGACTCACCTTTCGCTCTGCTTTTGTGGCAGTTTAATTAGCCCGAATTCTCTGGAGCGAGAGCAAGCGAGAGGGGAGCGTGCGGTCAGCCGGACGGGGGAGGGGGAGGGGGAGGGAGAGAGAGAGGGCCACTCCGCCTCGCCCCGCTGCTTCTTCTTCGGTCGGAAACCTTCACGCCCTTCTGCGCGCCTTGCTGCGCCGCGCTCGGGATCAATTTTATTGACTGTACGGTTGGCAGCACTGAGCTGTCTTGATCCCGGGAACACCACCAGTGGAGCCGGGCCCGGCGGGCTGTGGTTTTGCAGGCGCTGCCGGCGGCGCGGCGAGGCTGGCGAGGCCGGCGAGGCGGCACCGGGAAGTATGCAAGTCTCTTTCACCCCCATTCCCTCCATTCCCTTCGAGCCCAGCCACGTGTTCGCCGATAGATTGGGTCTGAGGCTGGGCGGAGTGGGGAGGGGCCGGGAGGGGCCCCGCTGGGGGGTCGGAAATGGGACCGCTTAGCGGGGCGGCAATGGAGCAGCCGCACACACACACGGACACTGTTTGCCACACGCATGCCCACGCGCGCTCACACGCTCACACACGCTCACACACACACGCTCACACACACACACACACACACAGTGAGCGAGTCCCGCTCGCCCCGATCGGCGTGGAGCACTTTATAATTACACGGCCGCTCGATTCGTCGCTTCAAACTCGGGGCCAACTTGGCAGCGCCGCCACGCTCGCAGCGTAGCGGACAACTTTGCATCGCGACGCGATCCGCTAATAGAGTGTTCGTTCGAGTTCGGGGAAACACGTTTTTCCTCCCTTTTCCGGAGCGCGGCCGAACAGGGCCGAGCCGGGCCGAGCCGAAGAACGCCGTGCCTAGTGTCTTCTCGTTACGCCGAACTTGCAGTGCCGTCCATCTTGTTCGCGCCCTCATCGGACTTGGGAATGAGGCTCCAGCGTGCTTCCAGTGTGCTTCCCGACTTCCGGCTTTCGGCCTCAACGCGCCGCAAATTGCCGCCTTTCTTTGGCGAGCAGCGCCTCGTCGCTCCGTCTCGCTCGCACCTGCGCGGGCCGCGCCGCGAGCGCGAGAGAGACGGGACGAGGGGAAACGGCCCGGCTGAACCAGACCGCCATGACCTCGGCGACGACGAGGACGACGAGGACGACGGCGAGGACGACGACGCGCAGTGCAGCCGGAGCGAGTCGGCTTATTGAGATGCAAATCACGGGGAGGACGGCGAGGCCAATCAGGCTGGTGCAACATGACGTTTCCCGCGTCGCCCTGGCGTCGCCCTTCTCCAACCACCCCCTGCTGGTGGTGCTAGCTGGTGGCGACCGCCGTCGAGCCCCTTCTGGCCGGCCCGGCCCAGCCCAGCCCAGCCGGTCGGGGTCGAAGCGCATCGCAACCTCATTTGCCTCCGAGTCCGTCCGTGTCTCTCCCCGTCCGTGTGCGGCAGCAGTGCACAGTGGGCCAGAAGAGCGGCGGAGGCGGCCAAAATTCTAAACGCGTTTTGAGCTCCAGAGTCGCTGAATGAGACTCGAGCCTAACGTGTGACCCCACCAATGGATTGCTCTCCGAACGAGGAATCCATTGGTGGGGTAACACGCTCTGTTCGAGTCCTGTTCAGCGACACTGCAGCTCAAAACGCGTCTTGAGTTTTTGCCGCCTGCGCCGATCTTCTGGCCCACTGTGCAGTGCACTAGCCAGCAGCAGCAGCACGGCCTGCATCGAGTGGAAGGGCAGCGGGAACCGGAAATAAAAAGAATAAAACATGGTAATAAGTCAGGATTACGGCCGCCTCCCCTCACTTTGTGCCGATGTGTTTCTGGCCGGAACTCGGGCTGGATGGGATGGGATGGCATCCCGGCTCGAATCTCAAACAGTGGCGGGGCGGGGATGAATGCGTGTTTGCGAAAGGATAGAAAAAAAGACGCGGGGGACCGCCGGGGACCGCCAGCGGGCGCGTGGGAGTCAACAGTTCCCCCGACGTGACCCTGGCGGACAGCGCTAGCGCGCGCGCGCGCGCGCGTGTGTGTGTGTGTGTGTGTGTGTGTGTGTCGAATTATTCGTTTGTGAAGCGAGTGCCTGCTATGCCCGGGCGCTGCCGTGCCGCCCCTTAAGAAATATGCGGCATGGATGTTCGCGGGATGAGCCAGCCGTCTGTGTCCGAGACGTATATGCAAGACGTATGGGTATGGTAATGCTCTTCGAAAACCAATACTCTTCTAAGGGCGCGCGGCGCGGCGCGGCGCTACGCG